AGACCTCTCATATGTCTAGTTAATCACAGAACGGTATTACATCTTTTTTTTTTTTTGGAGAGTTTTTTTTTTTTTTTTTTTTTTTTTTTTTTTTCTTTAGGGGGGGTTTTTTTTTTTTTTTGCTATAGGGTGCATGCACTCACCAGAAAGACAAAGAGAGACAGAAAGCAAGAAATCACCCCTCAGGATGGGGAGCCATGCCACAATCCCTTCTCCTCCATTCTCCTCTTGGGATCTTGGGCATGCACGCACATGTGCCCAGCATGAGTTAAAGCCACAGGGTCTGGGACTCAAACTGCAGTCGGCTACATGGGAGTTCAGTGACATAGCCATTATGCTAACTGCTGGTCCCATGAATTTGGTATTACATCTTAACCTATTACTAGTGCCCTGGATTATGATTATTCTCATAATCTAGTAGTAGGCATTCTCTCTCTTTGAATAATGATTTATTATTTTTATTATTTTCTTAATTTCCTTAGAACACATATGCTCACCAGAAAGAGTAACAAATAAAGCAAGCCACCAGGTCTGGCACTTGAACTGCAGTCTGCCATGTGAGAGTTCATTGCCTTAACCATCACATCATCTGCTGGCCCTGTGTGCATTCTCTTTTAATGAAATACAGTAAATCCTTTGTTCTGATTCACCATTTGACTGTTTATATCTGAAATTATTTATTAATTGAGTGATGCACTGTCCACTTTAATTTTTCAGAACAAGATCAACAAATAGGTTTATATAGAAAATATTCTTTTATTTTTAAAAATAATAATGGTTCATTTCTGTCTAAAAACAGTTTGAACTCTAGGCTCTCTATGGAGCTTGTATATGTTGTCAATGGCCTTCTTAAGAGTTGTAAAGTCACAAGGAAACACAAACAAAAATAATGGAAACAGAAGACCTGGATTTGGATCCTAGATGTGCTTAGTGCAGCTAAGTTCCATTGTTTCTTTGATATTTCTTCACTTTTTTAAAAAAAATTCAAGTTCTTTTAAACATTCAATCACATTATTTAGCTTGCTAAGTGAACTTTCCAACATGTGTACATTTCTCACCAGTCCAGTTGATAATACTATAAAGTTATCTTCAACAGATAATACCCCATTTCTTTATCCCATTAATGCTTTGCCTTTCTATTTTTCCCTTAAGGTCCTACTTCGGACTCTACTTTTTCACCCACCCTCTTCCCACATTATATCTAGTAATCATAACCATTTGCTGTGTTTCTATATCCTTTAGTCATTCAGTTTAAGTCATAGATTGAGGTCACTTGATATTTATTAAGTGGAGATATACAATGTCTCTCTTTCAAAGCCTGACTTGCTTCACTCAGCTGGAAATCTTCCATATTTATTCACGTTTTGTCAAAAGCCAGGGTCTTGTTTTTTATGACTGAGTTCCATAGAGTATATGCGCCACACTTTTTCAATCCATTCATCTGTTTGTGGGCATTTGGTTTGGTTCCATGTCTTAGCAATCGTGAATAATACCGCAATAAACTTCAATGTGCAAGCACTTTTAGACCTAGCACTCTATCCACATTTGGGTGTCCCTGGGTTAGGTGCATAGATATTTATAAGTGTCATATCTTCTTGAGAAATTAACCCTTTAACTACAATATAGTGCTCTTCTTTGTCTTTTTAAACAATTTTTGTTTTAACGTCTATTTTGTTAGAAATGAGTTTCTCAACTCCAGTTCTTTTTTTGGTTCCCATTTGCTTGGAATATCTTTTTCCAGCCCTTCACTTTTAGTCTATGCATATATTTATCCATGAGATGCATTTCTTGTAGGCAACAGATAGAGGGTTTCTATTTTTTAAATCCATTCAGCCAATCTTTGTCCCTTGATTAAAGAATTTAATCCATTAACATTCAATGTTATTATTGATATTTCCAGACTTGACACTATCTTTAAGTTGGCCAGTGTCTTGGTTACCTTTTATTTCATTAACCATGGCTGTTCATTCTTTAGTTTTCCTGAAACGGCACTCTCTTCAGAGTTTCTTGAAGAGCTGGTCTGGCATTGGCAAATTCTTTCAGGTTTTGTTTGTCTAAGAAGATTTTGATATTTTTTTCCCATATGAAGGAAAATCTTGCTTGATATAATAATCTTGGTTGAAATTGTTTCTCTCTTAACACTTTAAATATGTCTTCTCATTCTTTCCTTGCTTGCATTGTTTCCATTGAAAGGTCTGGTGATAGCCTTATGGGATGACCTTTTAAGGTAACTTGTTGTTTCCCTCTTACCAATTTTAGTTTCATGTCTTTATCTGTGGTCTTGGTCAGTCTGACTAAATTATGTTGTGGAAGATCTTCTGGGGTTGATTCTATGTGGGATCCTTTGTATTTCTTGGTTTTGGATGTGTGAGTGCTTTTCTAGACTCGAGGAATTTTCTTCCAGGATTTTATGGAATAGATTTTCCATGCCATTATCAGTTTCTTCACCTTCTGGGATACCAATTATTTGGATGTTTGAGTGATAAATGGAATCTAGTATTTCTCATATATTATCCTCATGTTTTTTTTGTTATTTTCTCTATCTTTTCAGTGTTTTTTTTCTAAGTCAGAGTTTTTATCTTCTATGTCGGAGATTTGATCTTCAGCATGTTCTATTCGACTTTTAATACTTTCTAGGGAGTTCGTGATTTCCTGTATTACAGACTTCATCTCTAATAGTTTCATCTGAATCTTTTTTTATGGTGTCCATTTCTTCTTTCACATTATAGAAGAACTTTCTAACTCTTGTAGTTCAATGTCTTTTTTCTGCTCCAGCTCTTAGAGTTTTGTCACCATGAATATTCTAAATTCTTTCTCTGACATTTTGATAACTTTCTCTATTTTTTGAGAGATGGAAGGGAGTTATTGTGTTCTTTTGATGGAGAAATAGTTCCTGGCTTATTCAGGCTTGAGCCTTGTCTTCTATTTCTAGCCATTGGAAGATGTTTTCACTTTTGGATACCTTTTTGGAGAATGTTTCTTTGAATTGAAACAAGTGTGCGTCCCTTTTGCTGTGATCAGCTGTGTGCTGAAGTCTGTCTTCTGCTGTGTTTGACAATGTTCTCTCCACAGGAAAAGTCTTTTATTCAGGTGTTTGTAGAACAGTATCTCCTTTTTCACAGATGTTTCAGTAAGAGGAATATCCAAGGGAGCCTCACAGTAATAGAGTATTTTAACAGTGTGATTCTAGATCTTTCTAGTCCCTCTGGAAGGATAGAGGGTGAGCAGAAAATGACGATATAAGAGGGAAACAAAAAGAGTATAAAAGAGAATAAAGAAAAAGTCATGCAATGCACTGCACTCTTAGCCTGCGTGCTAAGGAGTACAAGATTAATAAAGAAAAGAAGAGTCTTTCCCACTATACAAGATGGCATCTGAAAAGGCTGCAAAGCAGGATGCTAAGGAGATGAAACCTGAATCCAAGAAGGCCGATGCCAGTGGCAATGTTAAAAAGGGTGACCTGAAGGCAAAAAAGCCCAGAAGAGGAAGCCTCATTGCAGCCAAAACCCTGCCCTAGTCTGGGACATCAGCAGATACTTTCAGTCTGCCATCTATTCTAGGAAGGCCATATACAAGAGGAAATACTCAGCCACTAAATCCAGGATCAAAAAGAAAAAGAAACAGAAGGTTCTTGTGACTGTCACAAAACCAGTTGGTGGAGATAAGAATGTTGGGACCTGGGTGGTTAAACTGTGCAAAATGCCTAAATATTACCCTACTGAAGATGTGCCTCAAAAGCTGTTGAGCCACAGCAAAAAACCCTTCAGTCAGCATGTGAGAAAGATGCGAGTTAGCATCACTCCTGGGACAATTCTGTTTATCCTCACTAGACACCACAGTGGCAAGAGAGTGGTTTCCCTGAAGCAGCTGAGCAGTGGCTTGCTACTTGTAACTGGACTGCTGGTTCTCAATTGAATTTCACTGCATAGAATGCACCAGAAATTTGTCATTGCCACTTCTACAAAAATTGATATTAGCAAAGTAAAAACTCCAAAGCACCTTACTGATGCTTACTTCAAGAAAAAGAGACTTAGAAAGCCCAGACACCAAGAAGGTGAGATCTTTGACACAGAGAAGGAGAAATATGAGATTTTAGAGCAGTGCAAGATTGATCAGAAAGCTGTGGACTCACAAATTTTACCAAAAATCAAAGCTGTTCCTCAGCTCCAGGGCTACCTGCAATCCATATTTGCTCTTAGAAATGGAGTTTATCTTCACAAATTGGTGTTCTAAATTTTTGCCAAGAACCTAATTAAATAACTAATCATGTATATAAAAATAAAAGGAAAGAAGAAGGAAAGAAAGAAAGAAAAAATACCCTGCATACCTTACAGACAGGGGAAGCTCTGGAGTTCGGGGTGCTGGGCCATGGCCGGTGACTGGCTCTGCCTCAGGGTTCTCAGTTTTTCCAGGTGGTTGGAGATGGAACTGGGTTTTGTTGGAGAGGTGAAATCTGCCTGTGGACTTATGGACAGGGGAAACTCTGGGGGTTCAGGGAGCTGGGGTGTGGCCTATGACTGGCCCTGCCTCAGGGTTCTCAGTTTTGCCAGGGGGTTGGAGATGGAACTGGGTTCTGTTGGAGAGGTGGAAACTGCCTGTAGGCTAAGGAGAAGTAGGAGATTAACAAATCAGTTTTCTTTTCCTTACTAATGATGATTGTACTGATTTTATTGATGGGGATGGTACTGTTAACAACAAAGGTAATATTGACTATAGTAAAGGTGATTGTGAAATTTTCATTATTAAATTGCTGACTAATTAATAATAGAAATGTTTAATAGCTTTAATGCTACTAAAGAAATGTAATGATTACAATGGATAATAAAATTCTAATATTAGTACAAGAAGGCAATCTAAAGAATAGTTAATTCAATCCATTGTTCTTCCTAATAGATCACACAATGTTCTCTGACAATCATAGTGTTGATTGACCCATTTTGCAAATGTACGTGAAAGTGGAGTAACTTTTTTCTTGAGGTGTTTAGTTATAAGAATTATTCCTAATCCTGAGAATACTCCATGCTCAGAATCCTTTTTAATGAACTCTTCAGATCTTTATTTCTCAGACTATAAATGAAAGGGTTTAGAGTGGGAGTTACCAGTGTATACATGATAGCAGCAACCAGTTCCCCAGAGGAATGAGAAACTGATGGAGGCTTCAGATAGGTGGCAAATACTGTACTGTAGAAGAGGACAACCATAAAGAGGTGGGAGCTGCATGTGGCTAGGGCTTTTCTTTTACCCTGCACTGATGGAACTCTACCTACAGCATGGAAAATATGGGCATAAGAACTTATGATGCAGAGAAGAGGGATGATTCCTAAAATCCCAGCCAGAGCCATCATCAGGTTCTCATTGAGGTGAGCATCAGAGCAAGAAAGCCACAAGAGTGGGCCAAAATCACAGAAAAAGTGAAGAATCTCTTGATTAATATAGAAGGATAACTGGGACAGCAACAGAGTGTGGACCAAAGAGACAGAGTGGGCCACTCCCCATGACCCAACAACCAGTACCCCACATCTGCAAGGAGTCATTAGGAGTGGGTAATGCAGAGGATGGCAAATTGCAGTATATCTGTCAAGAGCCATGATAGTCAAGAGCAGGTTGTCCATGTCAGCAAAAACAGCAAAGAAATATAATTGAGTCAGACATCCAGAGAAAGAGATGGATCCATTGCTGGTCCACAAATCTTCCAAAATTTTAGGTGCTGTGGTGGTGGTAAAGCAGAGATCCACTAGGGAAAGCTGGCTGAGGAAGAAGTACATGGGAGTGTGGAGGTGGATGTCAGCACCAATGGCCAGTAGAAGTAGCAAATTACCTATGAGGCCCAGCATGTAGAGAGCCAGAATGAGACAAAAGAGGAACCACTGTTTTTCTGAGTCACTGGACAATCCAGAGAGGATAAAGTCAGGAGTCTTGCTGCAGTTCATTCTGGGCCTTGTCCTGCAAGAAAGGAATTAGTACAAAGAAGATTTATTCACTGTCAGGTACTAGGATGGGCTACAACCTGAATCCTGCCACCGGATCTCCTTTACACCACCAACCTGATGAGGAAAGAAAAGAAACTAAAATAGAAATTTGAGAGGCAAGAATTGGATTTAAATGATGGTCAAACAAAGAGGGACAAACTATGAAGTGAGGGAAACTTCAAAGGCTTCTTGAAATTTCCTGAGTGAAAAAGTTGATATATTTAAACTTTGTATTATGTGATGCTATAACTACTTGTTTATATTTTTTTCAGTTTTGTTATTTTTATTTTTTTATATTTTTTATTTCAGTTTCTTTTATACATTCTTTGGCACCTACCCAAAGGACAGAAGACTCCTTAAAAAAGTGCTTGCACATTGATGTTTATTGTGACATTATTCACAATTGTTAAGGTAAGGAATCAATCCAAATGCCCATGAACAGAAGAATGAATTGAAAAAGTTTAATTCTGTTTTTGCTCATGATCCTTTTTAAATGTAAGACTGCATCTTAGTACTTAGCTTAGTTCTTGAACATAGTAGAAATTCAGTAAATGTTCCTACCTATCTATGCAGTAACTTTTCCTGTTCAAGCTACTATTGATTACTTAGAGTATTGATAGGCTCTTGCTTGGTTGAACATGCCCCCTCTTGCCCCAGCTAATATGTTCTTCATACTTCAACCAGAGTGATCTTTTCAAAAAGGAAACAGAATCCTGCCATTTTTGTTCATTTGTCTAAAACTAACCATCTGGAGAATCTTTGCTCTTAGGAAAAATACACAATCTTAAGCATGTCTTATAAAACTAGATGTATTTTGACTTTGAGGTATCTTATCAACCTCATCTTGCACTATAGTCCATTCATTCTCTGTACTCCAACCACAGTAGTTGTGTTGCATTCTTTTAAGTACACCATCTTACTTCCTTTCCTTAGTCAACTTCTACTCATCATTTCGATTCTGTTGATGACTTTATCTTTTCTTTCTTATTTCTCTCCCTTTCTTCCTCCCCCTTTCTCTTTCTTTCTTTCTTTCTTTCTTTCTTTCTTTCTTTCTTTCTTCTTATTTCTCTCCCTTTCTTCCTCCCCCTTTCTTTCTTTCTTTCTTTCTTTCTTTCTTTCTTTCTTTCTTTCTTTCTTTCCTTTCTTCTTTCTTTCTTTTCCTTCAGATTTTTTTCCTCTTATCCACTAGCAAGACAGTGATAAAATGATGCATTAAAGAAAGTTAAGCTGCCCTTTGCTCTGCCAGCCTATAGAGTCCTGGGACTAAGAACTCCATCTGTCAAGTGGGAGAAACTGAATGTCTCTGAGCAATTGAAAGCATCTGCCCATGGCCACTCCCTGGGGTGTTAGAAGACTCTGAGGTTGAAAGTTCTCCCCCACTGCTCAACTGTGTCAGGAGTTCCCCTGCTCTCTCACTCTCAAGCCCACAGAGTTTTCTACTTCTTCTTCATATAGGTCTGGTAAAAAATGAGCAAGAGATCCTCCTTCTCTATGGGTTATAAAGTCTGCTAATGACCCTCTTTTACCCCCCTCATACTGATCCTTTGGTCCCCACATGGCAGTGTTCTATATCACCTCTTAAATTCTCACTGGACTTGGAGTGCATTCTAAGTATGTTCTAAGTTAATGAGTCTCTAGATTTGGCCCCAAATTATAGTATGGATAGGAAGTACAGAAATTAGGGGAAAAGTGAATATAGGGCTAATGATAAATGCAATCACCAGAAATATAAGATATCTGATTATGAGTTTGGTGGCAAATATGGTCACCATCAACAGTTCTTGGGCCAAACGTGAAACTTAATCTGGTGTCCTAGAAGCCCACCCTGTTTATTCTTTTGCTCTGATGTCTCTTAGGAAAATTATGGCCTTTTTATGCTGAAAATTTACAATTTCATTGACCAAAGTTTTATAAAATTGATTAGGGACGTCCAAAGGCAATACCTTAGTTCACTCCAAATGGAGAATAAATTTTAAAAATCTCATTTAGAAGAACTTAAGAATTTTTCTTTTTCTATTTGTTTGTCTATTCAATATTCAAAATTAATGAGAGGAACTTGGTCCTTGAATCTTGGCCACTAATCTCCTTATCTATGTTAACCAGGGCATCTCCCCTCTAGGTGCACTGAGCCAAGCTCTCCGATCTCTCTGTGGCTGCCTTGAGCCACTCCCATTTGAATTGTTTTCCCAGTTACTCTACCTTGAGACAGGTCTTGATAATGTTCACTTCCAATTTCAATGAGTAGCTCAGGAAATATTTAGGGGAGGGCTTAATTGGTGGAGAATAATCACTTTCTTTTTTGGGACATTTTTCTTCTTAGCCTTACTAGAGTTAAATATTCACTTTAGAATAAAGGATGAGAACATTTGCCCCAAACCACCTAGCACTTTGGATAGACACTCATGCAAGATGTTGAGAGCTCATATATTCAAACCTTTCGGGCTCTGTGACAATTCAGTTCTATGCACTAAATGTTAGATAGATCCTTTCTCTCTATTGTTCTTATTAATTAAAAGACATCCTCAATCTGAATCTCTATCTTCTCAACCTGTACTTCCACGTTTCTCTCCAGAGTCAGCTTTACTCAAAACCGTTCCTGGTACACAACAGAAAATTTCTCATCCAAGTCTCTGTCCACTAACACCATAATGACTGCAAAGGATTTCTTTTTAAATTATTTTCCCATGTCAGGGAACAACATAATTGTCTTGGTCCTCATAAAGACGCATGTAGACAAGTTAATTTTCTTTGCTGTTTATCCTACAGACCCTGCCTGATCATACTGAGGCTTCTTTCAGGCCAATTTGCACTTATGAGCGCAACACTGGGTGCACTTCTTCAGTGGCTTGATCAATTAAAGACAGGCAGTTAAGATGTTACTTGGAGCCATTTTCCTACTATTTATGTTAATGCTGCCCAGCCTCTTTAAGACTACACTCAGTGAGAGCCTTCCAAAAGATCTCTTTTCCCTGCTTTGTGATGTAAGCTGACTGTCTTTCTTGGCTGGTCTTCATATTGTTGATGTAATGGCTATGTTGTTGCACTCCCATGTAGTCAACTAAAGTTTGAATCCCAGACCTGGTGGCTTAAACTCACACTGGGTGCATGTGTGTGCATGCCCAAGAGGAGAATGGAGGAAAAAGGATTGTGGTGTGGCCATCTCCACTAGGGAGTGATTTCTCACTTTCTATTTCTCTCTCATTTTTCTGGCAAGGGCATGTGCCCTATAGCAAAAACCTTTCAAAAAACAAAAAACAAAACAGAAAAATTCTGTTACAACTCACCTACCTCCAGGCAAAAGTGCTCCAGTTACCCCCTTGGCATGCTTGCTTACCAAAAACAAAAAAAGTCTATTCAGACTGGCCAGCCATCTTCACATAGGACAGAAATTCAGGCAGTCCTACAATAAAGATACTGAATTGGCTTCAGATAGGTCTCTGTATCAGGGACAAAAGCTAGGAAACTTCCATTCAAGGAACCTAGTAAAGTGGCATTTTCAAGACACAGAGTGGGATGAGTTAAGGCTAAAATTCCTGGTTGCCTTCTCCCTTCCTGCCTTACAAAACTCTTGTTCTCTCTTCAGTTGAACTTCTTCTTTAGACTCTCCCCTTGGCTGCATTTTCAGACTGAGACAGATCTAGGCCTTACCCAAATACTGAAGCAAGCATGACTCCATTTTGGGGGAGTGCCTCCATTATGACTGGAAAATTGCTCTCTCTCCTTTTGTCTAGTAGTAAATAGAGTGACTGACATTCCTATTGTCCTTAAAACTCCATTTCTCCTAGTTGCCTTAAGATAAGGTCCATTCACTGGACCTTGTTCAGAGCCATAAAGACTATTGAGATCCCATTGTGTTCTGATAAAAATGGAACATACCCTTAGGGATGATTAAACTGCTTACCTGCTTGTTCTGCCTCTGTGATGCACTTTTGCTTGCTTTTACATTGTAAAACCCTACCCCCCACCCTTTCAAGCCCATTCTTTGTCCTTGTGAATTCTCACACAGTTTTATAGTTTGAGGTCTTAGATTTAGATCTTTGATTCACCTTGACTTTATTTTTGTCAGAGGTGAGAGGTAGGGGTTCAGATTCATCTTCGTGCAAGTGGAGATCCAGTTTTGCAGCCCTATTTGCTGAAGAGGTTTTCCTTTTCTTACTGGATTGACTGGTACCCCTTGTCAAAAATCAGTTGGCTGTATGTTTGGGAATTTATTTATGGGGACTCTATTCTGTTCCATTGGTCCACCTGTCTGTTTCTGTGCTAGTACCATGTTGTTTTGATTACCATAGCTTTGTAGTATATTTTTGGGTCAGGGAGTGAGATGCCACCCACTACACTCTTCTTGTGCAGAACTGCTTTGGCAATACTGGGTCTCTTATGATTCTAGACAAACTTTATGATCGTCTTTACTATATCTGTGAAGAATGTATCTGGTATTTTGATTGATATTGCATTAAATAGATAATTAGGGTAGAATTGCCATTTTGATTATATTAATTCTTCCAATACAGAAAAATGGGATGTCCTTCCACTTTTTTTGTGATTTTCAATTTTTTTTTATCTTCTCATAGTTTTCCTTGTGGAGGTCTTTATTTTCTACGTTTAGATTTATCCCTAAGTATCTTATACTTTCTGTGGCTATGCTAAATGGAACAAATTTTTTCAGTTCTATCTCAGTTAGCCTGTTGTTCGTATATAGAAATGCTATAGATTTCTGGATATTAATTTTGTATCCTGCAACTTTAGTGTATTCATGTATTACTTCCAGAATTTTTTTTT